GTTCGGAGAGTTTAACATCAAGAACGACTTCACCCCGGAGGAGGAGGAGGAAGTGCGGAGGGAGAACCAATGGGCATTCGAGTAGGGCGTGATCGGGTAGCTATGATTGTAGGAGGCAGTTTGGGTAGCAAGCCGTGAAGTGAAAATCGGAGCAAGGGCAGGCCGAGGCAGCGGGGTAGTCGTTTGTGGGTATAGAGGGTACACAGGATTGATGGGACTGCAAGTGTTTGAGGGGGAAGAGTGGAGGGGAGATATGTAATATTTGTGATCTTCCAGCATCACGTGCAGAGTGGTGTGCGGTGATGGGCGAAATGGTGACGTTGCAGACGGCAGATGTGTGGGCGAAATGGTGACATTGCAGAAGCGAGTTGAGTGCCGGTTTTTGAGGGTGGGGAAGGAGCATTTGCGAGTTGATCAGTGTGTTTTAGTGGGGGGTTTCAGTTTCATTTGGTTGTGCGTTTTGTTGTTGACATTGTTGCTGTGTTGCGCTTGGTGTATGTGGAGTCGAAGTTTGATAGAACCATGGAAGGGGTGTTTGACAATCCACGCTTGTCAAGCTGCCTGCTGGATCATGTCCGTCGACTATAGAGGTATAGTCAATTTGGAGCGCACTGGATTTTGGGTGTACTCTGCGTTAGTCCTAGTGTTTGTGGTTTGTCTGTCCGAATCTGAAATGAAGATGAGCTTAATGCAGAGAACTTGGACTAAAAATGTTGAGCATGTGCCACTCGAGTGATCATTCACTAACGGCGCATAATCGTCCCGCTGAGAGCACCGTCAAGAGAGGAGAAATGTAGCAAAATTGATCGAAGGACTTGTTTCAATCCCTCCTCCGTATATGTACGTAGCTGGTTGGCTTAACGTTGTAGTAGAGGAGCATTTATCTAGAGGGTGTATCACTTTTTCAACACATTTCAAGGCGATAATGCTCTTTCTCCCTCAATTATTACTAGCGTGTAATCGCCTACTAATTTTAGTGCAACAAGCGTGATCTAACGATATATAATTTCTCATGATGTACATGAAATGACATTTTCATCAACTGTTCCCTCCGATTGTGAAATGTTGGTGACGGAATTGTACTATTGCTAAGAAAAGGCAGTTACAGTTGGCCAAAAATTGTTTTCTGTGTATGTAACTGATAAATTCATGTCTAGCACCTATTTTAGCAGCAACAAATACCGATTCCATTTCAACAATGAATGGATAGGTTCAATAGCGTATGCCATTTTCTTACTTCGCTCTAGGTTGAGAAGCAATATACTCAATAGCGTCTCCACATGAGAAAATCTTGTCTGCATCAGCGTCTGGGATCTCGATTTGAAATTCCTCTTCGAAAGCCATCACAACTTCCACTGTATCCAAGCTGTCGAGTCCCAAATCGTTTTGAAAGTGTGCATTGGGAGTCACCTATTGAAACCAAGATGAAACCGATGAGCTCCTTTGCAATGAACATATATGATGTTCTGCTTTGTCATGATAAGTGCCACAACTCTTCTGCTTGTCAGAAAAATACCATTGCTCTTAATTTCAATTTCGAACACCAAACTTTGCCGAAAGCTAACTTCATATACGAGTCACTTCGAGATGTTCATACTCTGCCATCTCACTAACAATACAAAACGAACTAAGATTAACCTTTACACTCATCTAGCAGCAGGGGCAAAATCTAATTTGAATTTGGTAATGGGGATTAAAAGGAAGGAATTACGAGGTTTCTATACGGGATAATCAGCTGAATTCTAGTAGATTATGATATATATGAGCAATACGGAGACGATATAAGATAGACGTCGACTGGGTCTAAATTTACAGGTTGCTTTATCACAATATCTAGATATACGAATCGACTAAGAGACAGCTATGGATGAATTTTGGTTGCAAGGGCATGAATATCGAATTTGCTACACGAAGGAAGTTAATACCATGGCTATTACAAAATTTCATCTTTTTACAGTGGAACGCGTACCACAATTTAGCAGATTTAAGTATATACCACCGCATTTGAAAGAAATTGAGACTCTGAAGACGAGACGATACCTTAGCGGTGTCAACTTTCTGCATCTTCTTGACAACATTCAAGACACGATCAGTGACGACGTGCTTATCCAAATACGTTCCATGTGCCTCGGTAGAAAATAGACGGAAGCCATAAGCGAAAGCAGGACCCTGCACCCATGACGCAGCCACTCCCACTTGCATGCGCTTCAGCACGGCAGCCCGCACAGCCTGCATATTGTTCTCCTTCCTGTCGCTGAAACCAGCCCCTCGAAAACCAAACGAACGTCAAAACCCTACGAGTCACACAACGTCTCAAAAACACCAACGACGACAACCCAACATCTACACAGGGCGTGTACCACCAAGGGAGATTGCCAATCGTGAAGCAGCGAAGAAAACAAACCCTAGCACTACAACAAAAGGGAGCACTCTACCAAACAGCCCCAAACCCAACTGCCTGGCACGATCGACTATGAAACGCGGTGAAAACCCGTCGCAGCAACAAACGGCGAACAGCAAGATGGGATTGAAGACGAGAATCGCTCCAAAGAAACCACGTCTGCTAATTGAGAGTCATTGAATACCTCCAAACAACCCCACGAAGTTAACCCAAGTGCTTTAATCAAGCTGTGGATGCACGAATCGAGATGGAGAGTCCTTCAGAGTCCTTCAAGCAGTGCTAGGGTTTGGTTTCATGGCGGAAGCTCGCGGTGCGTTGGCAGGCAAGCAGACAGACGATAGAATGAATAGGAAGCGTAGGAAGACTAGGATGGCAGCGATCCCACCATGGCGAGGAGGTTTATCGTTCATTCGTGGGATTCACACGCTGAGCTTGGTCCCAGTTCCGCACCGATATCGCAGATTCGGTGGCATCCGCGATCCTTTTGCGCTCCGGGTTTTCATGGCTTTCGACCTCGAAATCCTAAAATAGCAACGACGGCGACGACGAATATGATGATGATGGTAGTGAATGTTAGGATTTATGTTTGTCGATTTGTTTCATGTTTAAATCTCACATAGTATGGTGGAAAATTATGCACTCAACTCACACCATTTTATTTCCATATATTAGGGTTTGTCTCATGAAGGAATTTTTGTAATATAAACATATTATTATGAAAAGTTATTATTCCATGTTGTATTATTTGTGTTAGAGTTTTATTTTATCAAAAACTTGCATAATTTATTTTTATTGATATAATCCCTAAAAATGTAAATATAAATATATACTTGAATTTAGGATACTTGGTATAAAAATAATATGATTGTATATATTTTGAAGAAAATATATAGTATTTAATTTTCCCACATTCCTATAGTATATAACTTGTTAAAGCCACACCTTCTCCTTTCTACAATAATTCATTTTGTATCATGTTCTATGTTCCCATATTCATTTCCGTCCCACATTCCACATTCTCCATTCTTAGCAACCATCTCCACCTTATGTCATAGATATATATCTACTGTAATTGTTACCTAAATAATATGAATAGGTAGAAGTAGATAAAAATAAATTAATTTCATAATACCTTCTAGAAAAGCATCCTAGAAGCTTCCTTAACACTGTTTTGACTTTACATATATTTTGTAGTTGATTGGAAGGTTAAAAACTTGGTTAACAAGCCAACTACATGCCACATGTGTTGATAGCTTGTGAAATAAGTTAATTATGTGGCACTTATATAGAAAACTTGCCTTGTAAGTCAAGATACATGTCATACAAAACACGTTTTTAGAGATCCTATAGAACGTTGCTACATAGATCTTAAGTAGATAGTATATATAGAGGCAAGAGTGAAGCCTTCTTCACTCTTGTTAATTCTTTTTTGTTTCTAGTCTATATTCAAGAGTCTCTAATTTTCTTATCTTTTGATAATAGCCATTTCAATTTTCTTTTTAATATAAATATTTCTTTATTTTTATTTTTTCATTTTTCTTTTGATATAGATTTCACATGTTTATGTATCTTCTTTGACTTCATGCCATTGACAAATTGACAAGAGTGCACTTACAATATCAGAGCTTTGACTAATCTTAATTAAGAATGGATTACCTCTTTCTCTTAAGATATAAGCATATTAGAAGTTTTAGATTATCCTCTTTTAAATTAATATTATTCTTAATATTTTCTTTGTTCTCAAGTCCTCTCTTCTACTTGTGTTGAGCAATATTAGACTTTTTTTTTTTTTCTAAGTGTTATCATGGCAAAGCTTCTTGAAATGAAGAGTGTAATGGTACAAATGCAAGAGCAATTGAGAGAGTTGATACTTATGATGCATCAACTCTGTTTATTGCTACCATAGCAAGAAGAAATGGCAAGAAGTGAAGATACAGACATGATTTGAGTCGCTTCAACATCTACACCAAATCACATCTCTTCTCCTTCAGTAGAACATCCTTCCAGTGTTAGACAACCTAGAGTTGTCTTATCTAAGAAGTTTGATGGCACAAGATCTAAGTTTTGAGGATTTATTAATGAAGTATAACTTGTAATTGAACTTCAATCCCAAAGCTATCCAACGTCAGGATCACAATTTAGATTTATTAATATATTTCTTTTGGATTTGGCATTATCATGGTTTTTATCTTTTTTCGAACGATGAGATCCAATATTGGATAATCTGGAGGCTTTTTTGGCATAGTTTTGACTTATATATGAAAAACATGATGCAATTTGTATTGCAATCAATAAGATTTGTATCTTGCGACAAGACAATCAATTAGTAATACCATATGCTTCATAGTTTTGACAGCTAGTAATTGATGTCAAGTGGAATGATGTTCCTTTTATCAACCAATTTTTCTATGGATTATAATATGAAATAAAGAAATTGATGTTCATTTTACTTGATCTTCAGACATTGAATCAAGTAATTGACTTTGCTCTGAAGTGTGACAATTAGCTTTTTGAGTTTCAATGTGAGAATTGTACAAGAAAACCTCCACATTATTACTATTTAATGACAATATTGACAACCTCGCAATCTAAATATTTGGAAGTAGAAGACATAAAAATTGATGCGTTATGTTCTAAACCTCTTATTGAACAAGAAAAGATTTATTGTTGTGAAAAAAGACTATGTTTCTATTGCAGATAAGCTAAGCATAGTGCTCAACATTATCGAAAGAAATGATGCAACTACAAAATAAAGAGTACGATTGTCAAAGATGAACAAATATCAAAAAATAAATTTGTCCAGCTATAATAGGAACAATGAAGCTCGAATCTTGTACAAATGAAGATTCTATCTTCTCCTTAGAATCCTCTCTTTGTTTTATAATAGATGTGTATTTAAGACCTAATAATCGTAAAGCCTCTGCATTGATAGATTCAGGAGTCTTAGCTTGTTTCTTACATAAAGAGTTTATTAAAAGCCATAGAATATTATTAGTATAAAAAACTAAACCCATACATATAAAAATCATAGATGGTTGTCCATTATCTTTTGAAGGTATTACTCATTAAACACTTCCCATAGATATAGCAATAAATGGTTATAAATAGTTGCATAATTTTTAATATGATTAAGTCTCCTTCTAATCTGATTATTTTAGATTTATTATTGCTAGAAAAGTATAATCCTTTAATAGATTAGATTTTTCATAAACATGATTTTTTTTAGAACATTATTAAGAGTTTTATTGAAAGCCATGAGTCTACTATAATCAAATCCGTACTCGTAGGCGCAAAAGCTTTCTTGCATGTTGTAAAAGAAAGATAATCTTTTGTTATTTATGCCACATCCATTTTTAATGATAGAAAGTCTTCAAGTTGCATTCCAAGTCAATATGAAGATTTTCAAGATATTTTTGAAGAGAAGAATGCAAATATTTTCTTAGAGCATTGTCCATATGATTGCTCAATTGACCTTAAAGAAGAAAGTTAGCCACCATTTGGTCCAATCTACAATTTATCACAAAATGAGTTGGTTGAACTCATGAAGTACATTAACAAGAATTTAGCCAAGAATTTAATACGTCATTCAAAATCTCTTACAAGAGCTCTTATCTTATTTGTGAAGAAAAAGATAGATCACTATAAATGTGCATAGATTATTGAGGACTCAGTAAGATTACCATTAAGAATAGGTATCTTTTATCCTTGATATCTCAACTTCTTCATCAACTAAATGAAGCTAAGATCTACGAAGAACATACAACTTTTTCTGCATTAAAGAAAGAGATGAATAAAAGACTGCATTTTGAGTAAGGTATAGATACTTTGAATATATTGTCATACCTTTTAGACTCATGAATAGACCAACTACATTTCAACATCTTATAAATGATATTTTTCATGAGTTTTTAGATGATTTTATTTTCTATTATTTAGATGGCATTTTAATCTATTTTAAGAATACAAAAGAGTATGAAGTTTATATTTGTTGTATGTTACAAAAATTTAGAGATGCAAGATTTTATGTTAAGTTGAAAAAGTGTGTATTCTACACTACTTAAATTGACTTCATAGGATATATCATTTCTAAAGAAGGACTTATGATGGATCCGAAGAAAGTTCAAACTATTATAGATTAGATGATTCCAAGAACAATAAGAGATGTGCAATATTTTTTGGGCTTTGCTAATTACTATTGGATCTTTATGTAGATTTTTTCTCAAATTGTGATTCTTTTTACATGTCTTACATGTAAAGACAAACTTGATTGGAGCAAAGAAGCTAAAGCATCTTTTAAAACCTTGAAGTTGACATTTATTTCTACATCAATCTTGTATTGCATCAACTTTTTTAAGGTATTTTTTATGGAATTAAACATATCAAATTTTGCTATAGGTGTTGTTTTGTCATAAATAGGAGAAGATGACAAGCTCCATCTAGTAGCTTTTCATTCTAAGAAATTCTCAAGAGCCGAAATTAACTATGAGATCCACAATAAAGAACTTCTTGCAATTATGGATTCAATTTAAGAATGGTGTCATTATCTAAAAGGTGCTTCTAATTTATTTACCATATATATGGATCATAAGAACCTCAAATATTTTATGTCAACTTGTATTTTGAATCATTGCCAAGCTCGTTAAAGCATGTCTTTATTAAGATTCAAATTGAATATCACTTATTAGCTAGAAAAACAACAAAGTTTGTTCAATGTCTTTTTTAAATATTCTTATCTTTCATCAAAAATAGGAAATGGAGCTTCTCATCAACAAAAGATAATTTTATTAAAGCAAGAAGAATTTCATCTTTGAATAGTGAAATCAACATTGACTATTGATTCAACTTTTTTCAAGAAAATTCAATCAAGTATATCCTCTGTTCTTCTTATTCATGATATTAAGTATATTTTTTCTAATTCTTGTAATACTTTCAAGTTCAAATTCAAGAACAACCTACTTTATTTTGAAAGATGCCTATAAGTTTCAAAAGGAGAAGCACATTTACATGTTCTTGAAGCACATCACAACTTTTCAGCAATATGACATTTTAGATACAATAAGACTTTGGAGCTAATATCTAGAGATTTTTTGTGGCTGCAAATGTAGAAGGTTGTAAAAGACTTTGTTCAATCATGTGACATATGTTCAAAGTCAAAAACTCCTTGTTATTGATTTTATAGACTTCTTCAACTATTATCTATTCTAAAACAATTATAGTCTTTAGTTTCTATGAATTTTATTATGAATCTTTCAATCTTAAGTTTGCGTAATTCTATATTTGTGATAGTAGATCATTTTATCAAAATGGCACATTTTGTACTATGCACAAAATCTATCACATGTAAAGAAATTTCCAAGCTTTTCCTTGATAATATTTATTAGTATCATAGATTACCAAAACATATTATATTGG